TCAAAATGTAAGACTTGCAGGGCCCACAGCCCACACGCTCCTTATAGGTTATTTGTTCTCTGAGTTCCACTTAGGACACTTGTGCAGGTTTGTGTATCAAGAACATTCATAATTCATTTATACCTCTTTTTACCCCTGAGACTAAGGCCCAATCCCATTTCTTATTTTTACCCTTTTCCCTTGTTTTTGGTTTCTCCTTGTCCCTTAGATCTGAGTTACAAGAGGTAGTGGTTGAAATCCTCCTGCTATGAAATGGGACCCTCAAATAAAAAGAGCATTACTTCATTAACAGCTACTTGCGCTGCTCTGTAGGCGACCCTGCCAGTCTGCAGTGACAGCAGAGGAGGGTAAAGTTCAGCTCCTCACTGCTGGACTTTAGTTACATTTAGGACATCATCTGCTTTCATAGAGGGACAGTTATTTATTATCACCCACCACCTAATTCCTCAGTGATATGAAGCTGAAGTCAGATATTCACCAGCTTCTTATTTGAATGTTCCTGTTCCACCTTAAATGGTTTTAAATGGTTTTCCATTTAAGGTTGAATGGAAAATTTAGCTAGCTAGCTACTGAGACGTCAGCATAGTTCTATCAGTTTTCATGTCTTATGAAGAAAAGGACCATAATACATTGAAATGACATTAAATTAAGATATTAAAATGGTTATCATATTTTTTTTTATCATAGAAAATACATTTTCGGGTTTATTTGGTCGCTCAGGGTCTTCGCCTTACCCCTCTATCTCAACAAGAATCTTGACACCCCACCCCCTAGGCATGAATGTGCAAAACAGAGGGGTAGGGTAAGTGGTGAAATGGGATTGGGCCTTACCCTTTAACAGTGATCTCTCTCTCTCACACACACACATATATATATATATATATATATATATATATATATATATATGCTTTTGTGACATCATAGAAACAAATTCAAAATGGACTGTTTTGGCAGTTCAGCCTCCATTTATGGAACGTATGGGCTTTGGTTGTGAACATTTACACACATCATCAAAGCCTTACTTCAAAGAAACAAGAAAAATTTGGTTTTTCCAACATTTGGGGCCTTTAAAGCTTAGATCTGGAACAGCGACTAAGGTAGTAACACTGAACGTGATATTGTAGCTGTTACTAAACTGACTGAGGATTTAAGCGTCTCTAGGACGCAGAGGGTCCGTTAGTCTGACACATTCGAAGCAAATTAACCTCTGATGGGTCTAGACGTGGGGTCAAAGGTCACGCCTCTAAAGGCCATCAGCAGCTGAGAGAGTTTGCTTGTTTGCCGTTGAGTAGTGTGTGTGTGTTTGGGGGGGTCACCATGCATAATGTATGTGGGAAAGAGTAACTTTAATAATGATTTGTGAGGCTCTGCTGCACAATGAGAGCTGCAGTCCGAATCTGACAGCCGGCCCAGAGCTTCCAAACATCAGCTTCCACTGCACAAAACGGCTCAGGCATTAAACCGTTTCGTCTCGTCTTTTGTGTTCTCTCAAATCGCTTTCTTGTGTTTACCTACTTCTTGTTAAAAAGCCATTATCTGAACGCCCCCTTCAGGCTGCAGTTTGAGTAGCTGGTGTTGGTACACAACAGCGTTCAACAGTAGTACTGTCATAAGATGTCATTTCAGTGAACAGGACTGTAAGCTTGCTTGTAGCAAGTGTACAGCATTATATTTTGACTGCTACACAACCTTGTAAAACAGGGGCGTTCAGTTTACACAACAGTAGTGATTTTACAAAACGCCACTCATTTCTATTACAGAGAAAACCAGCTTAGATCCAGAGTTGCTAATATGTGTGACGCCGGCTACAGACTGACAACACGACTGCAGAGGTCAGTGCACAGCAGGATATCAGGAGGGAGTATTTCTGATACAGTAACACAGAAGCTATTTTAATAGGCTATTATTATTTTTGCATACAAGTTGGAGACCTGCACACACAAGCCCACAAACAGCCACTTCCCAAAGGCAATTCAACCTTGACACGCCCACTGGAACGCAGGGCCTAAAAATGCACTCAAAACAAAATGATTTTTTCTTTTTTAAACCATGTTTTATTATTCCTAATATTAGATGTAGATACACAAGTCAACAAACAAATCTTGCTGCTTTTGTTTTTTTTCCCCTTTTGTGTTTTCCCCAAGATCATTAATGAAAAATGCTCCACAGCACACTGCGGCCCCCTGTAGGCAGGGCCTGGCATTACAGACGAAAGAACCTGAAACTCAACAGCAGGAATAGTTTGCAGTTATACAGGAGCTGCAGTCGTAATGGTAGTAGTAGGAATAATAATAATAACAGTAGCAACAGTATAAGAGTTCTGCAGTAATAATAATTAATAATAATTAATTAATAATAATGATAACATGGTCGTAGTGGTACTGACAACTCAACAGGATTTGAAGTTGTAGCAGAATGAAATATAGACATCAGTTGATAAATTACATGTTGACAAAGTGGTGATGGGGGGGGGCAATTTTTTATGGACACATTCAAATATTGCAAAACTTTGCCAGGAGATGTGAGAAAGAACAGAACAAAAAAAGAAAAAGAAAACCTTCCGGTTACAAGTGATCTTTTTTGGTCAAACATTCGAATCTATGCTGTACTAAAACTAGAATTCTGTTTTTTGTGGACTTTCCTCTGTTACTGAAGTTCCTCGAATGCATGAATGAGGGTTTAATAATGTATTGCATCAAAATCCTTGCATTAACTGATTCATTGCCCTATAATGTCGGTCATTTTTAAAATGCCATGCACACAGTGAGTGTGCGCTCGCTTCACAGACACACACATATTTGCCCAGACAAACCTGACCATGTTGACCGTATTACATTCTCACACTGGCAGGAGTGAGAGTGAACTAAAAGTGGAGATAAAGATGAAGAAATATTGTTAAAGATCATCTACCACCACTTAAAGGAATTCTTAAGCCAATAATGCTAATGCAGCTAATAATGAACAGTCAATAGCCAACAAATTAGCCAGCTTAATGAAAAAAATAACATGCTAGCTGACGGCTCCATTCATTGTTAGCAACATACCAGCATGTTTGCTTAAGCTATTCCTTCAAACTGACCAGGTCCAGCTGAACCCAAACAGTAAACAATGAAAGCAACCGTCTGTTCAGTTCATACTAGTTTGGGCACCTTTATTTGATTCGAATTGGGTGAATTCCTCTCACAGTTTCTATTTCAGTAAGCAGGAACTAAAGTCGTAAACGGAGGCCCATTATGCTTTTACCACGTATTGAAGCGCAAGTTAGAACTATTTACGCAATTTGGCTTAAGAGGAGCCAGTTACGCCTGCCTGACTGGCTGAAGCTTACTGAATCAGCACTGACCAGTTGGGAGAAAAATGACTAGTCATGCTTTTGAGGGTGATCCAGCCTTTACTGGAAGTCTAGCCCATTAACTGTGTGCAGACCAGTGAGCACGCGTCTTTAATTTGCCTGGTTTCAGCATTAGAGTTGACATTCAACTGTAGCCAAATTAAGCCTACAGACAAAACAGTCACAAATATCTACAAGCACGGAGTTACGCCAACGTAAAAATGAGCGCGTTTCAAAACTTTCGTAAAAAATTACATCCTCCAATGAAAATCAGAGCAATTTTCCTTCGGTACAAATTAAACTTTCCCATCGTCTTTAAAACGATGGTGGGCACCACTTATTTCTCGTCCTTTCCACTTCCAGAACGTTCACAGTTTGATACTCCACCCCCCTCGGAGGAAGGGGCTTCATCGCACAACAGCGAGAAAGACAAGCGCTTAGGGCCACCTAGTTTTAACGTCACAAACACACCGACAATCATTATGACAAGGCCAACGAGTGAATGACCTTCCGACCTTCTACAAAAATACCGTTCATGCTACACTGGATAAATGGGGGACAAATACTATGCCATGCTATTCTGTGTACAAATGCAAAAATAGCTTCAAAAATCTCCTGACCCTTAGCTTCCTGTATAGCTTTACATGGGATAATTCCAGCGGTGATGATTCAGGTGATTCATTAAGATTAGGTGTTTACTGAGCGGGAGATTTGGTCCACATTAGGAAAAAAATAACAGTAGTTTAGTATCTCTTCCAGTGTTTTTCTTCACATTGGCGCACACATACATATATATTCACGCACGCTCTAAAAAAACAGCCCAAACTCACATTCTGGCAAAAACAGCATACCAGGGCTCAGGGCTTTCTGAAGCGGTCGGGTGTGGGGGGGTCGGACTGTGTGCACTCGGTTGGTGTAACTGGTGAAACCAGCGTCTGAGGATCAATCAGGAGGAAACGTTCAAAGCAAATGTCGCTATAGAGAATTACGCATTCCAAATCAAACCAATAAAGAACGAAGAAAGAAAAACATGCCTCCCCACAGTTCTCCGCATGTTTATGCGCGTATGTGTTCGGTCAGAAAATAGCACTCGAGTTTTGCCTTTAAACTGGAATAAAGCAAACCACAACAAAACTCCTCAACCACAAACTGCACCTTCACCGGTGTACAGAAAAAAATTGAAAGAAAGAAAGAAAAACCTCAACATTCAGAACTTTAAAATCCTTTGGAATTGATAAAATAGAAGTTAAATGAAAAAACAGAAACCCACCATAAACAGAAGTTAAATTCGCAGACTTTAGTACTTAGTTTTTTTTTTTCTGTTATTCCCTGCACACTTCAGACCGCTAAAAGTGAACTACTCTTTAGGGGAAAAAAATAATCTGTCAATTCAAAAACAAAGGAAACAATATCTCATGTGCTGTCAATTCTACAAAAGAAACCTCATCAACTATCAGATTCCAGAAGCTGACTCTAGACCAGTTCTAGAACTCTTCATACTCGGTTCTAGAAGAGTGTGGATTTTTTTTTTACCCTCTCTAAAACAGGACTAGCTATACTTAAATTTTCATTAAATATTACTTTTTTTATCCTCAAAAACTGCAACAGCAAATAGATAAATAATAATAACAACAGATATATTACTGGTAACAACATCAATACCAAAATGTGATTCTGGTCCTTCACAAAGAAATTCAAATAAAAAGAGAGAAAAGAAGTAGATCGATAATGAAGGAAAATAATAGAAACTTTGGAATCACTGCATTATGGGAAAGCCTGCTAGCCCCAAGGTCGAAACAGAAATGATATTGAAATAAAGAAAAAATGAGTTAGCATACGCTTTCTATGCCTTTTTTTTCAGTTTGGAAAAACTGTCCAATCAGCAAGGGTCTCACTGGTCACTGACACTAACCTGCCTGCCTCCTATTGGCTGGAGTCGTTAACAGAGCTAGGAGGCGAGCTCAGAGAAGGATGTTCTCCTGTATGGCACTGAGTGAGACAGAGAGATGAAGATGACGCAAAGAAATAAAAAGTGGAAGTAAAATTGTAGAGCGATGTGACAGTAGAGGGCGCTGTCCTCCTCTGTTTTCTCAGACAGTATCAGTTTGTGTTTTGAGTGTTGGGTGACCAATGCTTCACTCCTCCCTTTTCCGAATGGTACGGTGCAGTGCTTCTTTATTTCTTCTTGCCGAAGAAGCTGAAGCGCTTCTCGCGGTCTTTTTCTTTGCCCTCTTTATTGCGCATGGTCACTCCTCCGGCCTCACCCGAGCTGGGCGAGATGGGCGGCATGGTCATCGCCCGGCTCAGACCGCGCTGACCGCCCGGAGAGCGCTCACCAGCGGCGCTCGATGGCATGGAGGAGTGGATGGCACGAATCCATGAACTCATCTCAGCCTGTAAGACAGATACACAAAGACATGAGAACAGGAAAAAGTGCAGCACTGTGACTAAGAATAGCCAAAAAATCTGAATTAAATCAAATGAACCCTTAGAGGCTGCAGTTCCTCTGGATGTTATGAAAGCACGACACAGTTTATACTGTTATTTCAAACTGTCAGTCAATACTGCATTTATGTTGGTAGATTAAAAAGGAGATATTGTAATTTTAGTCTGATTAAAAGTTACTGTTGTCTTGTTTTGCGGTATTTTTTGCCATGTATTTGTGCAGACATGAACCCATTGATACAGAATGTAAATCGCATGTAAAACTAAATCATTATCAACAGCATAATTTATGTAAATTATGTAAATATAAATAAACAATGCAAGGTAAATGTAATGTATAATATAACTAATTAAACTGTTATTACACTTTAATTATGGAATTTACACTTTTAAGTATGGAATGTAAATCAAACAAGAAATGATAAGAATTTTAAGACACCCGGAAGAGACAAACTGAGGAAAGACATGACAAATTAGAAATGTATTTATTAGTGATGTAGCTTAATTGATTTAATTTAATGAGCCGACTCATCTGACTCACTGAAAAGAGCCAGACTGCCCTTCACTAGCACGGAGCTTCAGTTCCATAACACGAATAATGACCAGCAGGACGGCCCTGCCTGCTGTTTCCTGCTGAGGGTTTGAGTCTCAGGGTGGAAAGATACTCACCTCGTCCTTGGCCTGGAACAGGAACTCTTTCCCATCTCCCAGCCTGAGGAAAACAACACCAGGAAAAACGTTACTCAGGCCCTAAACCACCACACTGCACTGTTTTTATCCAATGGGAAATCTGGCTGCATGTAATCTATCTGTATTTCTGTCTGTCACCTCAGTTTGAAGACATGCTTCCTCTTCTTGTAGTCGTGGGCGACCTCACAGGTGGCCTCGCTGAGGCTGATGGGAACTTCTCCGTGGTAGGGGATTCCGTTAGAGGCGCTCTTATTGTCCTTATAGAAGCCCAGACTTCCCTTCCTCAACACACAGTACACATTCTGCCATGATCTGTGTGTGAGATAGAGAGAGAGAGAAAATATTCGGGGTCAGCTGATCTTATTTTTTTGTTGTGATCTATATATTTATATTAAGCTGTACAGGAAAAGTTGTTAAAAACATACAGTTATGTGCAAAGGTTTGAACACCCCTGGTCAAATTACATTTCTCTGTTGACTTTCTAAGTGAAAATAAGTTAACAATACTAATTTTCTACTGAGAGCTCACTTGAATGTGGCGTTTAAGTGCCATTTTTCGTGCACAATGTCTATGTATTTGCTGAGTTTAACATACTGGACAAAACTTAAAATAATATAAAATATAAAAATGTGTCATAACTTTTACACAGGACACATTTTATGTTTAATTTCTTCACGATACGTTAAATTCAGCAAATAAACTTATTAAAAAAGAAAAAGTAATTGTGCATTAAATAACAAACAATACAGTAACTGCACATTTTATGCGTTCTCTGTAGAAGATGTGTTAATTTATTTGTCACTTAGAAAATCAACAAAACGTCATTTGGCCAAGGGGGCCCAAACCTTTTCCTTTTATGAGGGGAAAGAGTGCAGAGACGGGAAGAACAGTAAGGTAAGGAAAGACCCCTTTAGCATGCTGCTCCAAAAATATGAATTACGTAGGTTTTCATCAGAAAGCACAAAGTTGTTCACTGGAGTTTCACTGACTACCAACATTAACGTTATATCTAAGTCTCGCATCTCAGAACAGCCCCCCCCACGAACACTGATGTCAAACATGTGAACCTTATTATAGACCCATATCACTGTGTAACTAACTGACATACAGGAAAATAAACTCACTCATCCCCTTTTTCTCTCCCTTCCCTCTAGCCCAACACCATCTCCCTCACTCTCCCTCCCTCTTTCTCTCTCACTGTACCTGTTGGCTGCTTTCTTTGTGTGGCTCTCCATCTCGTGTTTTCTGCACAGCATGCCCTCCATGGCCTCTGTGGTGGGGTCCACTCTGCCAGGCAATGTGGCTGAGGGGTCGTGCCGAGAGGCTGTGTCCAGTCCGCTGTCCCGGCCCGGACCGTTCACAGACTCAGACTCTGACCCCTGCAAGACACATACAGTCAGAGACTCTTCCGCTAGTTTAGAGCGACAGACTTCTGACTAGTTAATATTTGATTACACGTGATATAATGGGCCTGAATCTACCTGTTCAGTTAATGATGGGTGACGCACAGTGCAGCATGGCATCAGTATTGATTGTTAATGTTAACAAACACAATAAACTAAGCTGTTTAACTGTAACAAATAATCCTTAACTTTAAATGCTGTATTTTTAACAACACAACTAATTAATATGAATTTCATTTGACTCAATTCCATAAAATCTTACAAACGAGCTTCACTTAAATACAAGAAAAGTATAAACGAAGAAAATTACTCAAGTTCTTAATAAAAAAAACTACAACAATTACTTTGAGTTACTTTAGGTTAATATTCTTATTGCAGGAAGGAGCTAAAGTGATCGATTTCCCTGGATAGACTGGCTACTTAAGGTAGCCCATTACCTTGACCATTTCCTTACATTAGCTAAATTAGCTTAGCTAGCTAACATACTAGCACAGCGTTGCATTTCCCTACTCAGCAAAGACCAAAAGAGCATAGTATCTATTTAGTTAAGGTTAGTTAGATAGTCAGCTAGTTTCCTCCCCAGGTTGGAAGCTGTGAAAAGTGTTTTTTTTTTTTTACTCTGCAAATACTGTAATAGAGAAGTTGAACATTTCATGATAAACTCCAGCAGACGTAACATCACCATGACTTAATATTCAAAAAAGTATCGTCACAGGAAAGATTGTGATTTAAATCTGTTCACCTGGCAGACTGAGACTGTTCATCACATCATGCCAGAACACAAACTCAAAGTACACAAGAACAGACAGCCTTACAGACAAACGTGACCAGTGACATCATGGGGGGGAACGCAGTGAGGAAATTTGGGAAATGCATGGAACACTGGGAGTGGTATGGAAAAACACAGCGAATGATGTGGTCAGACAGGGAATGCTGGGACACACATGGAAAACTTAACCAGCCACAAGGAGTTTTTATAAATTTGGGTATTTTGCAAAGATGTTAACATGAACTTTGAGGGCCAAAAGAAAAAAAAGTTGTTACATACGAGGGTAAAAAAACTTCAAATCATACGTAAAGTAGCCTTTATGGTCCAAAAAATAGTCCAGTATACACTGTTAACACATTTATTAAAACTTAAAACATACATCTTTACAAGGTCTGCAGTAAAAATCAAAGACGGAGGGTAAGTTTCATATCGTTTAACATGAAGTCTATTTTGCCATAAAGAAGAAGAAAGCCACTATTCCAATTAATAGATAGGAACAGAAAAACATCTCCCTTTAAATCTCAGGAGATGTAGCAACTTTTTTGGATTTTTAAATCCAAAAAACAAGTTGGACTAAAATAAGGACTATATTATGGTCTTTAATATGGACTATAATGAGTTTATTTCCAATTATTATTGTTCTCATAGGCTGATACAAATATTTGAACATTAAACAAGACAAAAGCATTACAAAAGAAACATTAAAATTAACACGAGCAAGACCTGAACCCATACTCCAATTCCAGCAAGACATGAAAAGCTGTGGGTGCCACGGGGTGGTTTTGGCGCCCTCTAGCAGGCCAAGTGGGAAACTGCAACCACTGGTTTGCTAGGTAGCTATATTTGCTAAGCGCAGGCAGCGATGAGAGGGGTAGCAATGGTGCTAGGCTAAAGCTAAGGGTTAGCACAGCTCTAAAGGGGTTAGTACTCACACGCTGCTGTGCCTTGTAGGGTTTTGGCACAGGCTTAGAGACCGGTTTAGATTCTGGTTTAGAAAGTGGTTTAGGTTCCAGATTCGGCAGTTCAGATACCGAGACCGATAAGGACTGCAGGTAAGAGATGTGACAAGAGTATGTTAGTGTGTTTGTGTGTGTGTGTGTGTGTGCGTGATGTAATGAGTTTCGGACACATAAAAGTATGCTGACACTGACACAATGACTCCACAAACAAAGTGAGTGTTAGTATTATGCCGATTTCCTGATTCTGCTTCTTACAAACCTCTGACACACATTTCCTCTCTCTCTTCTGCTCCATTAATTATGTTGACACATGTATATCTACAGGACAACATATAGAGGACTGAAGGAACAGCACTGAACATGTAACAGGATGACTTTCAATGTGCGACACTCAGATGTGGTTCATGTTCTTCAGACTTGTCGAGGTTCCAGTGTGATGATGAGAGTTTACAGAGGGAGAAGAATGTAAAGTCTATTTGTAGAGATATCAACAGCCTCAGAAACACAGTATAAACATATACAGGTGCACTACCTGTGATGTGTCCTGGTCACTGTGTACTCCGTTGACAGACACTGACTGGTTCAGCGTGGTCTGGTCTAAACTTGTCCTGGAGCAGGAAAGAAACAAGTCAGAGAAATTACTCATGTATTCACACATACAATTTGTACAAGGGCATTTTACACCCCCTGAAGTCAACTTGAATTTAAAGTATGTACAACAGTATATACAGTATGTGGTAATGTATATACATGTACACAGAATAATCGGCAATGTATCGTTTCTGTCAGGAAAATACCTTGTATCTCCATTTTTGTGATTTTATTTAATTTTTTTTTATTTGAAAATGTCAGTTGACGTTTACATTGCGACACGATGTCATGATGAATGGATCAATAGAAAATGAACTGACAAAAACCTCTGCCATTCAAAGTTAAGAATGTTTTTGCTTCACCAGTAAAGTTTTTACATTTTTAATGCCTAATTACTGTTTATTTGCTGAATTTCATATATTGGAGAAAAATGATAATAAATCATAAAATATGAGCTACTCAAAAGCACATTTTACATTTTAAGTTTTACTTTTTCCAATATGTTAAATGCACAAATAAATAGAACTTGTGCACTAACACGCAGAAATAACAGCATCTTTAAGTTTGTTCTATGGCACAAATATTTTATTGCCATTAATGCATTTTCCTAGTTTGAATGCTGTATTCTATGACAGAATCTGCGACTGTAGTCCTCTCACTCAATTATTACTTTCAAATTACTTTAAAGTGATATGTTCGGCATCTTCAGCCGACTTTGCTGGACAGTGTTCGGAGGCATAGGGATAAATCAATGAGTAGCAAGCTAACAAAAGCCAGAGCAAAGCTTAAAGCTACAGTTCACCTTGAGTGCCTCCACTGTAACAAGAGCTGTATGAGCAAGACGCTACAACCGTAGAGGAGTTGAGCCACTGACTTTATGAATATGTACTTATATATGTATGTACATACACGTACACACACACGCATTAAACACACTCATTGGTTGGAACATGCAGCCACTGTTGCTCTCACTGGATGCTAAGGATAAAACCTAGAAACTGTATTCATTCTGTTAAAATCACATCATTTTCATGTTCAGGTTTATGCGAATCCTGCATTCATACAACTAAAATAATTTTGCTGGACTACTGAAAGTAATAAATACATTCTTTAACACTATATAAACCTGTAAGGATCAAATTTGAGCAATTGACAAAGCAACTGAAGAAAGACGACTAATCTGGATTATTTATTTCACTCTTTTAGCAGCCCTTGTAAAAATATAAATTGGCAATAGATTTAAAATAAATGTATTTAAATTTAATTATATTCTCACACAAAATACATTCTGCTTGAAGAAAAGAATCATAATGCCGCGCTCGCCATGCCTCCCCTATAACCTGTATAATGGTATAGTCCTTAAATTTACCTGGCTGCTGACTCATGTTCTGCTTCAGACTGTACCACCTCCTCTACGGGAGGAGGTGTGGGTGGTCTTCTCGCTCTCTCCTCTTCTTCTTTCCTTCTCTGAATCTCCTGCTCCTCCAGCTGTAGGGAGGAGAAGAGGAATGAGAAGGTTGAGACCAAACAAAGTTATATATTAGGTATATATTAGTATGAGTTGGGGGTGCACAGACACAAACGGATGTTTTTTTGCTCCTAACATGATCCACAATCGTCCTGACCGCAATCCACAATTAGGCCTACCCAACCCACCTGCCCACGGGTTTCATATTAGTGCAAACTTTGAGTAAAAAGTAAATTCACAATGTTATTGTCTTTGTTGTCTGTTGCTTTCAAAAAAATCTATGGCAAATAAAAATCTGCCAAAAAATTTGCTTAGATGGATGATCATGATCAGCGCACCCGCAGTTTGAATGTGTGTGCGTGTTTCAGACCGTGGTGAGTTTCTCCAGTAGTACAAAGCGCTCCTCCCAGCCTGCGGCGAGTTTCTCAAAGGCTTCATGACGTTTGATGAGGCTTTCTACTTCGTCCACGTTGGAGCCCAGTTCAGCTGCCCGCACCAGCGGCTCCTGACCTGCCAACCATGACTCGGCTACTGACGCGTCCCTGCCGAACTGCAGCACCTCCAGAACTAACACATGCAGATAAACAAAAACAGCAATATTCAGTAACCAAAAAAAAGAAAAAAGAAACAAAGAAACAAGCAAACAAAAATGGCACTGACAGTAAACACACAGGACACAGAGGACACATTTTGTACAGCCAGAATTCAGTATCCAGTTGTTCTTCTACTAAGCTTTAAAATAAGCTCTTTTTAATTAAAGCATCCAAAAGAAGCCAATCATGCTGAAACTTCTCAATCACAACAACCCCAAACGAACAACCACAGAGCTAACATCACATCACATCAGCGTGACTGAGCACTATTTCATGATATATTTTTTTTGGATTCAATCACATTCACTCTTTTTTTCCCCCTCTTCAACATTCAATGTAGCATTTTCTACTGATATTCACCTGATACGGATACCTGGTCTTAGACTGGCGTCAGGCAGAAACATGAATTAGAGATAAGTGTAAATGATGCACTCATTTACATGCATGCACACACAGATATCCACTCACCGATCTGTAGGTGGTCCATTTTGTCCTGCCATTTTTGGTTGATTTCGTCTCTCTTCGCCTGAAGCTGCTCCAGTTTCTCTCGAATCTATAAAACAAAAGAGACAGTTTATGTGTGAGCTTATCAGATGTAAACTGACTGCTTCGTTTAAGTGTGGATTAAGTAAAGTACATCTACAGTACTGTGTACAAGTTAAAGTATTATTTATTAAATTTCCAGTCAAAATAGCCAAATTATTAATTTTTCAGGGTCAGGAAAAAGCAGAAAACATATTTAACAGAAAGTGGCACAGAAGCCTCAACAACTAAATATAATATCACATTTTTCAGTATTTAGTGTGTCCACTCTTTTCCTTTATTACAGCGACCATTCTTTTCATCAACGTACTTACAGTTTTTTAGATAAACTTGCAGGGATATTATTCCACACTCAAAAAGTTCAGACTTAGCAGTGGGTTGAATTTTCCTCTTCTTACAATGCGAGTAATCCCAAACACATTCAATAATGTTCAGGTCTGGACTCACAGTGGAAGGATGGACAGAAAGACCTGTGAGTTTTTTCAGATCTGAAGCAAGTGCAGAGCTTGATTTTCTCCTCTCTCTTAAAGATGAAAGTACTGTTTATCCGATTAAGACAGGAGTTTCATTTTCTCAGCACCTTTACACAATTTACGAGGCAGTTAAGATGCATTGGGGTAGTTGCTTGTGTGAATGTTAGTGTCTCTTTGAAGGGGAACATAATGTCAGTGACTCCTTCGGGAATCTTTTGTTGGGAGGACGCAGCTGTAACTGTGGGCTTTTAAGACTAGAAGGATGGAAGAGTTAAAGTGGCAGCAGGTGCACAAAGGTAAATAGTGGACAGATTAAATAATGATGGATTTGATATTATACGTATTGCTTGAGGCTTCTGGTTTTTACTGATGGTTTTGACCTGGTCACAGTCCAGATTTAAACTCTACAGAGAATATTTGGTCTCACATTAAACACGAACTAGTTTGTCAGTGTTTTTCAACTGTGTGAAGCCATCAGTGCTGAGTGGAACAATACTGACTCTTCTTTCTGTAAAAGGTTTTCTGCAAGTTTACAAGCAGAAACACCCACAAGACTTCAATATTGAAAGGAATCAAAGGGAAAAGCTTTGCCATACTAAGTTACTTTATCTATTTGTTTAATGATCTTTTGTTGTTGTTAAGATTTTAAAAGTTTAATGTTTTGCCATTTTGGGCTTGGCCCATTTTTTGCACTGGAGTGTATGTGTATAATGTACATGTGTTGTTTACAATAATGTCTGAAGCAGGAGAGTGTGTGTGTAAATATCTCATCTAAAGCATAGTGGTTGTTGAGGAGAATGTGTGTGTGTGTGTGTGTGTGTGTATACCTCATCTGAAGCATAGTGCTTGTTGTTGAGAAGTGTGTTTCCCATGTCAGTGCATGCGGTGAAGCTGCCGGCTCTGGCCTCAATCTCTGCTTTAATGTCCTGATGATTTGCTATCACCAGCCCAGCCGATGACACGTCTCTGAAACACACCGCACGCAAATTATTACACTGTTTAAAATAATCCATTATTATTTATTCTGCATGGCTAGAATTTAAACAGTTAGTGTGCCTGTCTGTATTTTTATCTCTGTTTGTGAGTATTTGCATATTTACATGTCCGTACACTTCCTTAAGCAGCTTCTGTTTCTAAATGTGCTATTATTTCTATAAATTCTTACACAAAAGTATGTAAGAGTGAATATAGTGTTTTAGGAAAACTGTAAATGCTTCAGTTAAAAAGTCTGTATGTGTGCTTGTACAGACCTGGGGCTGTCGTGAGACTGTATCTGCAGGTTGATTCCATCCATCCACAACATCAGATCTCGGACCATGTTGAAGAAGCGGAACTTCTCCACTGTATCTAATAGGAGCAGTCGTCTGGATTGAGTAGCGGCCAGAAGCCCCTCCCAGGCCTCGGTCACAGAGCGCTCGTGCCGGTGGATGTCCTCGGCTTTCTCTCCAGCGTATGCTTTCTGCAGACGAGCCGCATCGTCCTGCACCTGTGTCACCTGCAGGGTGAAACGGCAAATGTTAATAAAAATCATGGGGATGGATAGGAGATAAGGGGAGGTAAGGGAATGTATACACCCTGTATTGTTATATACTGTAACAGGGTAACTTGAGACAAGAAGCTCCTCAGAGTAAGAGGTCCTTGTCCACTTATTTTCTCTACAGATTAGATGATGGGACCAAATGTAATCTGGATACATTTACTGAACGGCTATGGCCCAAATCATTCAGAAATTTGATCCTTACATTTATCTTGCCCCCAGTTCCAGTTTATTTCCTGTGTAGATTTACGGATCATCAGCCAATATTTGGTAAACGGATGAACAGAAATGCTTAAGCTGCTCTTAAGGGGTGGCATTTCTCCCTGTTTTTCCCCTTTATAACACTGCAAGATACAGTTCTGTTTAATAAAGGAAGAGTATGGCAAAAAATCTAATTACAACAGATGTGCATGTGATTTTTACACTATATAAGATAATGTTACCTATAAAATTGTAAAAAGGTCTATCTCAGCAAAAAACGATAGTAGAGGACACCTGGAAGCCTGATTTTTTTCCTATTTTGGTCCGTTGAAACCACACCCAATCGCAGTAAGGTTGGACTGCAGAGAGCTAAGTCTTTGCCGGCCAGTCGTTCCCATTTATGCAAGTTAGCAAGATATTACTGACTAGCATAACCTAGCCAAATAAAGATGGGAAAAACACTGATGTCAATGCGCTGTATTTCTTATAACATTATAGTTTTAGGAAAGGGGTCATGCTAAGAATGGCTCCAGTGTGTCATGCCATGATTTCAGGCCCATCCAAAAAGTCCTCACCACAAAAATCATAAAAAACAGGTTAACGGTCTAAATCCACAATTCAATAAAATATAGTTCATAATCTTTTCATATGATTTCAGCACTTATTTTCTGACATGATTAAAGTGTTCAGAAACAAATCTCTGAATTTACTTTACACATACTTTAACAGTGAGTGGCAAGTGTGTGATTTAGGTATGCAGTTTCCATTATTTGTTAGCTACATTAGCCTTGAAGCCCCAGTGCAAAACTAAAGCAGCAAACTTCAAATATAGTTTTAAATCATTTTGACTTCAAAGTATGCACATACATTAGCTTTTATCAGCACATGGGGGCATCTGCTTTAGGTTTCCCTGAAGTTGTTTTTTCCTTAACAGAGTTATTATGCAGAAATAGTGTTTTCTTATAAAAGTGATGATGTGTTGTCTCACACACACCTGTCCACTCAGTGCCTGTACATCATGTTCGTAGGCAGTGTGTTGGCGGTGGAGGTGCTGGACAGTGTTGAGGTCTCTGCCCAGTTCAGCTCCGGCCAGAGCCTCTCTCTTCTCCTTTACTCGCCCCAGTGCCTCACGGGCGTCCTGGTGGAAGCGGTGCAGCTCGTATGAAGCGGCCAGCATCTGCGTGCGCGTGTCCATCAGCTCCAGCAGGTCTGCCCACGCCTCATTCAGACCGTCCTTCCACTCGGCCACGCTGGCGTTCTCCGGGTGACCTGATTCAATCAGCTCATCTGCCTGAGCGTTCACGGCGTCTACTCGCTCCTGACCGATCGCACTGGTGTCCCGAGCAAACTCCCGGAACTTGTCTCTCAGCATCTGAGAAACAGAGAGAGAGAAGAAACGACCATTTCATTAACAAACTTATGGATATAAACAAATGTGTCATATGTGCACTACTACTCAAAACCTAACAACGGTCATCCTAAATGACCGCTAAACTACATTTTTTCCCCTAAAAGAATGGCAGAACAATGCGGGCAAAAGCTTGAGCACCAGGCTTATATCACGATAATACAAGTACATTAGCAACATCCTAGCAACCATGTTGGATACCATAGCAACTGCTTAGCAATACTGTAACAACACCTGGGATACCTTAGCAAGCATCCAGCAACACCCTAGCAACCACATGGAACACTGAAACAACCATCTAGCAAAACTCTAGTAACAACCTTTTTGAACTGCTTAAACTGCATGATCACTGCATTTTCTTCAGGAAATGTACTTTTCATGTCCAAAAGGAAAAAAGGTTGTGTTCTGAATGAGGAACAGAGCCACAGATAATTCTAAAATGATGTAGCATCAAAAGCGAAGTTTTAATAAAATTAACATAAAGAATGCATCACATTTTAACAATGGTGACCAAATCTTGAGACGGGTGAGTAAACTATAAACAAAACACCTAAAAATACCTCACATCTCTACACACACACTCATATTCTTTCAGTGTCGTATCTCATATGAGAGAAAGGAGAGTATCAATAAAAACAGTAAACGCTTTCGTACAGTGACATGCTCGTAGTCCTGTCCGAGTTCATGAGAGCCGGCAACGACTTCCCTCTCTGCGATCCACTGCTCCAGGTCATCCACTTCTCTCTTGAGCTGGGTCAGCCTCAACCTCTCCTGCAGCCTGACCCGCCGCTCCTCCGCCAGATCCTTCAGCCCAGCGTACAGCTTATCCACCTGAGCCTGACGCAGCGTGATCCGCTCACTGATACACAGAGAGAAAACACAACAACTTCAGTGCATTAAGATATTCACTTTCACCTGTAGTGACACGTCAGTTATCTTGTTCCAGGCCACACTGACGATATTCAGGTTGCATCTGACTACAGCAGTCCCACTCACCTGATTCAGGTAATATGCTAATTGGTGGCTATAACCTTCTATTACTTGCATTCTAAACTAAATACAGAAATTTCCATGTTTTCTACTGTATTTGATTGCAATGTTATCAGATTTGTTATCTTGCCCTTCTGTCTAGTACAAAAACAAAGCTAGGGTTATTATCATGTTAGTCTGAGTGAAGATTCTGTGACAATTCCAATTTCAGGACAATCGCTTAGTTAGAAAGCCAGAAAGGTCCTCACCTCTCAGGATGTTCGCTGTTCACCATGAGTCTGCTGCTATTGGCCAGCTGATGGATGGTCTGAGCGTAGTCCTCCAGTGCCTGCTCCAGGATCTGGTGCTTCTTCACCATCACCATAGCACTCTGTTCATCCTGTTATAACAGTTATAAATGCATTATAAACATCAGCAGAGCGCTTTGCTTATCAAGTAATAATTGTTATATATGTATTATAACATGGCCAGAGCATTTTGTTCAACCTGTCATAACAGTTATACATGCATTATAAATAACATCAGAGCACTCAGCTCATTCTGGAGTGACAGTTACAAAGGCATTATAATCACCACCAGAGCGCTTTGCTCATCCTGTATTAACAGTTATAAATGAATTACAAACATGGCCAGATCACTCTGTTCACCTTGGAATGATGGGCACAACATTTACTAAAGCTTTCAAATTTTTGTTATCCTGTAATATGTAAGAAAATCTTCATCACCAGAACACTCTCCTCACGCTGTAATAACAGTTATAAACAGAGAGCGCTCTGCACATTTGGGAATGACAGTGAATAATGCATTATAAACATTATCAGAGCACAGATATTCCTGTAATAAACTATATACTCTTTGTAAATCTCACAAGAACTCTGACTATCCTGTAACAACAGTTATAAACACATCACATATATGGCCAGAGTGCTTTGCTCATCGTGGAATGGTAGTTATTAATGTTTTACAAACTCTGATTGTCCTAAAATGTTATAAAATCTTTGTAATTACCACCAGAACACTCTGTTGTAATAACAGTTGTAAACGCATTGTAAACATGGCCAGATCGCTCTGTTCAATGTGCAATGCCAGTAATGAATGCATTATATACACCACCAGAGCCCTTTAATCACTGTGGAATCACTCTGTCCTGTAATAAGTTATAACTGGGTTCAAAGTCTGGAATTGAATATATTGGGGACCCAGTATATTACAGTATCTTCATCATTCTATTTTTCTCTTGGACAGAAACACATCCCAGAGTCAGACGCTCACCTTGGCCTTCTCCTCGGACATCATATGCAGCTCTTGTTCGCCCATCCAGGCCTCAGCCTCAGCTGCGTCTGCGTAGAACTGCTGCGCTCTGTTAGCCTCGACTAAGCGTGCACGTCTCTGGTCAGTCTCTGAGATGAGATGGGCCCACAGCTCCCCGAGCTCGGTCAGGCGCTCGTCCAGAGCTGCACGCTGCTCGTCATCCATGCTGCGCCCATGTGCCTGGATGTCATTGATGCGGGGCTGATGGCCCTGGATCTCCTTTTGTAGAGTCTGAGCATAGAGAGAGAAAAGAGAACTAAAACCTGAGAAAAAGTATGAGCAGCAATTACAAACATAACGGAGAACAAAAGCAAACATGAAGAAGAGACAATCATTTTCACAAAACCTCACTGAAAACATGGACCAAACTGAGTGAACATGTTGGCTATGTTAACGTGTGGTTAACTGGATAGTAATTCTTTTATTTTGCTTCATTTAATTCTAATAAATTCAAGGGATTACAAATAAAATACAAGTTAACATTCTTCTGAAACTGCATATTAGACCTATAAAAACAGCGGTTAATATCAAATTAGTCAAAACTTCACAATAAGAAAGAGATTTCATTCCTGTATTTGATAACGCTCTTCGCAAAATGTGCTTTTTTGTTTTTTATTTGCTGTGAACCGTCTTTAATCTCTGAGTGGGAACAAGTGGAAAAGAAGCTCACCTCAGCTCATCTTACTCATAAAGCTGGATTCAGGTCAAAATAAAGAATTTCCTATTTGGCTGAATTAATCTGGCTACACCTACATAATTCTGAACTAAAACTTGATCTGTCAATCAGTTTGCGGCAGAAATAAATAAAGTGTGTGTGTGTGTGTGTGTGTTACCTGGTTCTTTTTGATGAGGAGCTGTACGCTGGGCAGGTCTTTGCCGTGATCTGTGGATGTAGCCATAGGCATTCTCTCTTTCACCCACAGCTGCAGAAGAGGCAGACAGAAAGAGTTAGTTAATTATATTCCACATAAACTGCAAGGTTGCAGCAGGAAAAGCGCACAACATCAATAATATCCCACATGAGGCGCTGACAAATGTGTGATTTCAAGACTAGGAAAACCTTCTTCTGATGATCTTTTCAGGGGCTGTTTTGAAATGTTTAGCTGAAGGAAGGCAGATTGCTATTGTTAGTTCTAGGAAGCTGAATATCTTCATGCAGTCATGTAACCGTAGTAACTCTTTAAAATTATTACAATGGAGAGTAACAAATAGGGGTGCAAGAAAAAATCGATTCTTAGATGCATCACGATGCGGACGTGAAAGATTCTGAATCGATTCACAAATGTCAAAAATCGATTTTCTAAATATTTAATTTATAACGTAATGTTGACGGAACACAAAAGGCGGAACTGGGAAGTGGGTAAGTGCAGCGTCCGGACAGTCTGTAGTGGCACACAACAAAAACATCACTGGATGAGTGAGAAATCCGACCGGCTCCCTCTGCATTAAAGCCAGGTTAGGTCAGGAGTCACAACACAAATGATAAGAAGAGCCATTTTGTCCTTTCAATAAAAATCGAATCACCTTGGGAGCCACAACATTTAACGTCCAGTATGTCTCAGTATGTGATAATGTCCTAGTATAGACTAAACAATATAAACGAAAACGCAGATTTACTTCGCTCTGCTTTAAGCTTCGCCTACAGCCGCTTTTCTTCCATCTCCGCCAGAAAACTCTTCCTCAGAAGTTGATCAGTTAAATGTCTCAGCGTTCAACTGTTTTACGAGGCTGAAGTCGCTTCTTATTCTCCAGCTTCTTGTTCAAATTTACCCGTTCCACCTTAAATTCTAACTGAGGGGCTGAATGTAAATGCGGCACCATTTAAGTGGAACAGGAGAATTTGAAAGAGAAGCGACTTCATCTTTGTGACTTTTTAGTGTTTGACAGTCTCTCGTTGCAGATTTAACGTACCAGGAAACAACTGCGCTGCTTATAAACGCGAATAACGCATCGCTGCTATGTGACCTGCAGTCTGCACTGCAGTTCTCAGTCGTTGCGAAACAGGGCTTTCGCACTATGTTGCACACGACCCGTCTCAAAGATACTTTACTGACACAGCGATTCCCCCCGTCTCTACAACGAGACCAAAACCGAAGTTATAAAATCACAAAAGAAAACGGGTAGAATAGCTGTAACATGTGCTGTGTGGACATCCATCACCACTGGATCTTATTTCACCATAACTGCGCATTTTATCGCAGATGAGTAGCAGCAGCTTCTCGTGCTCCAAACAAGAGCAGTGAATGAGAGCCTTCTAGTTCATTTGCCACATCACTTCCATTTGTTTTATTAATAAAAGATATTGGAAGTAAATTCATTATGGATCATTACAAATACTTTGCTTTAAAGGTACCAAGTCACTTTAAATAACAATAACACTGAGTCACTTAGTCACTTTAAAATGTATATTGTCTCTATATTCTGTGTATATTTTGTGTATATTTAATATATTTCAGTTTGTTTTTTTGTATTTTTACTTTCTGTAGAGTGATTAGCTGAGCCTCACCACAAGCATTTCAATGCATAAATGTCCTGACATGTTGTGCAAATGACAAATAAACTCGAAACTTGAACTCGAAACTTGAGCTCACACAGTGAGAAAATAGAAATGCTACACAGAAAAAAACGATGCATCGAAATGCATCGATAATCGTTTTATAATTGCATCGCAGCCCTCTGAATCGTAATCGAATCGAATCGTGAGGTGTCTAGAGATTCCCACCCCTAGTAACAAACAACTCAAATGACAGAAATGAAAACAAGCTAAAGGCAAAAATGGTAGCTACCTGCCGATTAAGACATCACACCTACAGCTAAAAAGTTAAAAACTTGCCTCTGTTATCAGTTCTCTGTTTTTTTATGAGTGTGTTTAATGATCGTGGTAGGAGTTACACTGATGGCTGTATTTATTAGAGTATGGGTCAGTAACTAGGCCAGCAGTCAGGATTGGTTGACATCACAGGGATGAACACTGCATAACAAAAACTACACATTAGCCTCTATTTTTAAGCTGGAATGCCTCAGTAAATGTGAAGGCCAACTGCAGTTTCACTCAGGTTAATAGTCACAAGTAGGCATGGCCTCATAGTTACAGGTGTATGCAAATGTTTTGGCACCCCTGGAAAATTTAAATTTAAAGGGTTTCAATCCAAAACAGTATAGATAACTTTAAAGAATTACTGTTGTTCAATGATGACTGTTGTTGGGAATGGGCTTTACACATACAAGAGACATCAGTGCTTTATAATGATTAATACCACCTTTATTAGAAAAATTAAAAATATATGTTTTTTGTATTATTTTCTATTATTCCATCAGCTGTCTTTTTAAGAACTCATTATTTATATATGTATATAACTGTTATAAATGGATGTACTTTTTGAAACTCTTCATACTTTGTTGATTCCTAAGTGAAGAAAGTGAACGGAACCTCTGAAGCAAACCATTTTAAGAAACCGCAAAAGATATGATTTTGTCACGTGTGCTCAAACTATACGTCAGTGTGTAAGTGAGTGTATATGCGGGACTTCAAAAGCGTGTGAGAGTGAGTGAGTATGTCAGTATAGGAGTGCATCTCACTATTTCATCCTCCAGGTCTCTGTTGAACTGGTGGGCTTCTTTGGAGGCGAGCAGCTGCAGGCGTCTGGTTTTGAGCGGCTCCTGCAGCTGAGAGAATCTGTCCTCCACTCTGCGCTGCTGACTGTCCACCTCCACAATCCCAGCCTCCTCCTGGGCCAAGGCCAGTGCCTGAGACTGCAGAGCTTGCACCTCCTTCTCACGAACATCCATCTGGTGCTCCAGCATCTTAAACACACACAGATAATTCCATTTAACGTCCCAATAACATTGCTGATATTTACCTAATGTTTGTTTTCTATAATTAATCATTTTATCACCCAGGTCTACTGCAGTTTGCCCACACTGGGCTGCCATACCTGGTGTTTCTTCAGCAGTATGTTGACGCTGGTCAAGTCCTTGCCGAAGTCGTCGCTCTGAAGCTGAGAGGAGATGTTTTGGAGCCAGGAGTCCAGCGCCGAACAGCTCTGAGTGAACAGCTCGGCCCGGTTAGCATCAAACAGACACTGCGCTTTGGTCTGTGTGGTGTTCTCTAGCTCCTCCCACTGCTTCTGTAGTGCACGAAGAGTCTCCGACACAGTCTCCTCCAGCTCAGGCTTCTCAGCCACCAGTGCTTGACCCTCCTGAGAAACAGAGAGAGAGGGTGAATGAGAACCAAAGTGAAAATCTTTTGTCTACTTTAGTAATGGTTTGGCCAAAAATCACACACAAACACAAAACAATGAAAAAAATCTGGCTTGAAGATGTCTGCCTCCAATTTTTTTCAAGCTATGGGACATATTTTTGTTTATGTTTTTAGATAACAGTATGTCACACTGTGTCAGAAACCATGTAAGCAAGACCTTCTGTAGATCTCTTAACAACTTAACACAGTCTGAGGCAAGTTTCAACACTAACTATGCCTCTTTGAATCATTACATTTGAGGGAAATTGTACACATTTGATTTTTCATTAAACCATACAGAGCAAAATTTGTTTGGCCAGAAGATTTTTTACTCCTAACAAACCTCTGAAAAATACTGTTTTTATAATAATCTTGACTAAGTAGGATCTACATCAGCACTTGTATTTACAACTTTCTGAAATGTGTGTGAGATGCCTGTACCTTGTCGATTTTGTCCAGCCAGTCTTTGTTGGAGGCCAGCTCAGCCATGAAGGCCTGGTGTTTCTGCCACTTGCTATGCAGGTTCCTGGCCTCATCATATGACATGTCTTGAGCTGTCAACATCTTCTCATTAATCCAGAGAGTCAGCTACAGAACGATAGAGAGATTAAGACAGAGACAGAAAGAGGGAGAAAGAAGAAAAGAGAAATGATTGAGAAGAGCACATTTCCTTTAGAGTATTTATATCACTGCACATATATGGATTGATTTATCTTAAGCTAAACAAATGCAGCAATTCAGCTGAACTCTGTCCATAACCAGTGTGGAGGCCTGTGAACAGTGCCTGGTATTTATACCTCCTGTCCGTCCTGAAGGAAGTGCTGGAGCTCCCTATTGTCCTTCAGTTTGGCCAGAAGATCATTAGCTGCCTGCTTATTCTTCTGGTGTCTAATACAGAAAGAGAGAAATGTTTGCACAGATATCTCCAAACAGATATCAGTGTCTTTATGGGCCCATTGCATACCATGTTCTATTGGTTTTATCTTATTGTCGCTCTTAAGAATACATTTCATGATAAACTAACAGTACCATTAGTACCAGTACTATTTTGGACATAATGTTACCATTAGTTTATCATGAAATGTTCACACAATGTAATGTTATTCAAGATTGAAATATCTGAATAAAAAGTCAAGGACTGCCTCATATGGTCATGCCTTTTATGTCCACTACGGGGACCCAATGTTAAAGAAATGATACTATCACTAAAAAAACTAATTGTTGTTTCTTATTATCACAAGTCTCCCTCTTGTACCTCTCTTGAATGGAGTCAGCTTTTTCCTGAATCTTGTCTCCGTTGGCGTTTCCGTCAGATACAAGGCGTCGCCCGGACTCCACCACACCATTGATCTTTTCTTCACTGGCCTCCATGGTGGTGAGGAAGTCCTCATGCTTCTTTATGGCCTCCAGTGCCCCTTGCAGGCTATTGGGCATCTCAGTGTGGGACAGCACGTACTCCTACGGAGGGACACATAAAGAGAACATAAATTACAGTGAACCAAAGCGAATAATGATCCTGGTGCCTTAACCACAAATGCTGAAATTCTATCTGGTGATCATCACTCACTCATTGATTTCTCTCTTTCACCATCCGTCCATTAGAGGTGAGTGGTATGACTAAGATATTATCACATTAAAGCATCTAAGCGTACTGATATCCATATATGTGCACCTTTGCCGAAAATGAAAGCAAGTTTCTCTACAGTGAGCCACTTCTTAAACACTTTGAATGACTTTGCATCTTAACGATTGAATTATGCAGAAATTTGGGGAAAAAAGGGTCAAATTCCCCTTTAAGTGAATGTACTAAACAATGAAGAAAAAAAAATCTCTTAGTACTCATATAGCTACTGGAAGTAGTAGGAAGTAATGTGGTGCATTATTAAATGATCATAAATTCTGAAACTGTCATCATGTCTTATAAAAATGTCTCTCTTTGTGTCTGACCTGGCTATTAAGAAAGCCTTCGGCCTGCTTGGCATCCCGGAGAAAGGTCTGGAAGTCAAAGGCCTGAGCCAGCACGCAGTGTCTGCTCTCCCACATCCTGCGCAGCTCATGCCAGCCTGTGTCCAGAGCCTGCAGCCGCTGAGCCAAGAACATGTACTGAGCGTCCGTCTGACCCTGGGTCACCTACACACACAAACACAGAAGAGGCCAGGGTAAATGGAAATGCAGACTTGTAGAATTGCTGTTAATGCAGTATCAGAACCTGGCCTAATTATTCCAAACTGGGGTTTGATAAACACATTAATTGCATTAGAATATATCCATTCACCTTAAAGATCTGTAAGCTGCATGTGTGCTGCAACATGATCAATTCCCTTTTTTATTTTTTTAGCCATTCATTTGTGCTTACCTGGGGTGGGCATGGTTGTTCTGTATAACATATATCAAATAGTATATATTTAAAAAGATATTATATATGTCCAAATATTAGATATAATATTTAGTATTTGTTTACTTAATCAGCACTTCGAATAAGACATGCAGTTTGTAATGTAAAATGTAAATGTTCCGAATAAAAATGAATAAATAAATAAATTCTGAAACAGTTTGTGTTTTTTAATCAATTTTAGACTGAGTGTGTGGTGTAGAACTGCAGAGCATGCTGGGACACAAATCAGCTGATATAGTGATATATTTTAACGTTCAAACACCATTTGAAATAAACGCAGATATCTGAATTGCAAAAAATATTGCCAGTGCTTACCTCGGCTCCGGTGGCCCTCATCTTCTCGTAGTCCTCGCGATAGTTGTCCACCTCGTTCTTGATGGCCTCGTGCTGGGCCAGCAGCCGCTCAGCCTCGGCCAATGAGGTGGGTGTGTCCTCAGAGGCCACGGCCGTCTGTGTGCGGGACAGCCAGGCCTGAAAATCGTCCAGATCCCTCAGGAAGCCCTGTAGTTTGGACGCTTCGCCCAGGGACTCCTCGCGGCGCTTCATGGTGGATCGAAGTTCCTCCCACACCTCCTGGATCTCCTCTAGCCTCGCACGGATCTCTCCGGCCTGCTCCGGGTGCTCCGACGCCAGCTTCTCTGCCTCAGAGCGCAGACCTCCCAGCTTGCCCTGCAGAGAGAACAGAGGGGGAAGATGGAATGTTATCGTGTTCTCGTGTGTGTATGCTGGTTTGTGTATACTGTATTGTTTTCACTGTTTTCCACGTTTTAGAGCAATGGTGCATGGATCCAAATTGTGAAGTAGCACATATGGAATTAGGTAGTATTAAACAAACCAAAAATCATCTTCTATTTTAGGTTACTCAAAGTAGGCCCCTCTGCCATAATTCAGCTTGGGGGCACTGCTGAAAGCTACTTGTTTGGGAGACCTGCTTTTCTAAAAAGCAAAAAACATGAAAATGATGAAACAAACACATTCAATCAGGTGTGTCCCAACTTTTGAAGGGTACTGCATGTTTATATTTATAGCAACATGGCCTGGAGCTTAAGAGCTGCATGATGTGCATCAGGGTATGAGAGTGGTGCAGAGTGGGCACAGTGTGGGGTGATTTTGCCCAAAGTGAGAGAAGATCGCTTCAATAACACTCCATGCCATTAGCCTAAGTTCTTTATTCCCCCTGGACAGACTGCTACTGCATAACATGAGTGAGGAGTGCCTTGGTTATTGTGTTTGATCTGCAAAATGGTACGGCAGACTATACTGAAAATTCTCACTGGTTACAGCAAACATTTACAATTTCCCCTCAGGACAATTAAAGTTTCTTTATTTCTTATATCATATCTCTCTATCTTTCTCTCTCTCTCTCTGTCTGTCTGTTTGTCTGTCTCACTGTTTAAAAAAAAACCAAAAAACTGTATCTTAACCTAAAAAAGTTAATAACCGGCAGCCAGTTTACTAACTTTTTAGTATTGTTACACCACTTCTAGGCTCCTGCCTTTGCCTTTGAGCACCTAACGGGTATTTGTTTGTACCTGTATAGCCTCCAGGTCCCTTTCCATGCCAGTGAGTTTGCGCTGCAGGGCCATGACACCAGCCAGGTCGTTGCCCAAGCTCTGAGTGGACTCGATGACTTTAGTTTTCTCCTTCATCCAACTCTGGATCTCATTACACTCCAGATGATAGTTTTGGATGTTCAGAGCAGATTCCAAAGCCTGCTTCCTCTGGTCTGCCACTCTCTGGAACTCACTCCACCTACACAGACACAGAGAGACAGGGGTTATGGGATTTGATTCAGATGAAGTGCCTTTGGGTAGTATGTGTTTCTGAGAGTGGTACGTGAGTCTTGGCATGTATTGTTAGGTAATTAAGCAGTTTTGTGTTTAAGTGCTCTTTACGTGTGTGTGTGTACCTGTTGTTGAGTTGGTCCTGTGTCTGGTTGATTTGCTCTTTGTTGCGGTTGTCTGATTTCAGCAGCTGTTCAGCGACCTGATTAACATCTGTGATGCGAGAACCCAGGTTATTCATCTCCGGCTCCAGAGTTTCAAACCTACACATTTACAACCATAGCAGAAGCATAAAACCCTGTTAAAACCATAATAAAATCCGTTTATAACTATGACACAACCAAACAGCCCATTTACAACTATCATTCCTCCCTCATTCCTCCCTCACCTTTGCTGGACCACCTCCAGGTCCTCCAGTTTGGAGGGGATCTCCATGTTGTGCAGCCACTGCTCCTTCTCCCCGATCCATAGCTGGCAGGCTCCAGCCTCGCTGAACATGCGGTAGAGCGCTAGCGCCCCCTCCAGAGCTTGTCGCCGTGCTGACGACAAAGCCTCCAGTTCTTCATAGCGCTGCTCAATCGCAGGTAGACGCCCCTCCACCTGAGAGAGTCAAAAACAAAGGGAAGAGTGATTATTTTATTCCATAGTATTACATACTTTTATTACATAGTTATCGTATACAGACACATTGATATGGCCATATTATTACTATATCATTTAAAAAAAAAATCTTTATAAGCTTTATAAAAAGCTTTATATGGCGCTATCATTTCCATTTCCTGATGAATGGACCAACAGAAATGCTCCAGATTGACTGTAATGAAATCTCCTTTCATTAGCTTACATTAAAAGCAAAGAGGGTTTTTGCCCTCTTCTGTAAAGCTTCAATTTTGGAGATGTTTTTCTTCGGACAGCGACAGAACACATGGAACATAATACACGTTATTACTAATATATTACACAAATGGGACATGACCCCACATTTTAACATTGTACAAAAACCTCTGTGTATTTGTGTGGGTGACCCAGTGTGTCCCAAACAAACCCTGGATGATCTATCCACCATTATCAGTGGGTGACCAGCACGTGCCTTACATTATATTTAGATTTACAGGGAAAATGCATATTAATAAATGTTTCTGTAAATCTGCCAATTTAACTAAGTTGGCTAATTTTCACAGTCTGCATGTGTGTGTACCTGTGGAGACTGGGCGTAAGCAGGGGGCAGTGTTTCAGCCTGCTCGTGCAGTGAGTCTATGAGAGAACGATGGCTCTGGATCTCCTCCTCCACCTCCCTTTGTTTCCGTGCCAGCGTCTGAGTGGAGAATTCATCATGGCCGACCTCCTGACTCGACACCTGTCACAACACAAGCACCACCATGTTATTTATGTGCGCTTGTTAGCCAAATGGCTAATTTTCACCTGCAGCCCCTGAGGTCTAACTATACTCCCCTGTTACTGATAATGCTGTTACAGCTGTATTACTTTAGCAGGAGATACTAACATTACAGCTACAGCTATATTACTATAATGCCATTAAACCAAGTACACTGTTAGTAACACAGAAGTTACAGGTATATCACTGTACTCTGTTTCTAACACTGTATTTATTGCTATAATTTTGTAACATGCAACAAACCTCTAACAAACAGTTATAGCTATGGTCAAACGTTGTCAACATAAAGTTGATTTAAAAGGTAAAAGAGAAAGACATTTTGCAGTTCGAATGAAAAATTTTAAAATATATTTAGTATTTTAGTAAAATATAAAGTATTTTATTTTATCCATTTTAAAACAACAAATGAGGACGGAACGTGTTCTTCATTTCAACGCGACACAAGAAACAGCAAGCGGCACAGAGTAGTTCAGGCTTGTCGCGCGCCGCCTCACGTCTGGTGTAAAATCAGCTTTATAGTATGTCACCTGTCTGAGTGTCTCCAGCAACCAGGCCTCCATGTCATTAGCATCTGTCTGGAACTGGTGCAGAGCTACAGACTCCTTTAGACGCTGCTCACGCAACTGAGACGCCTGGAATTAGTGAGTGAGAGAAAGAGAGAAAGAGGAGGAAAAAAAAAAAAAAGTGTTTATAAAATTGTATATAAGTGCTACTTCATTTTAATACTAAGCATTCCGGTTTAATTGAGCTTAGTTTTAATGTGCTACTCGTGTATATCCATCAATCCATCATCATGACTGAATCTTAATTCACCCATCCATTCAAATGACTGTCTATCCATCACTGTGAGTGGCTCTTAATTCACTCATCCATCTATCCAGCCATAAATTTCACTCTGTTAATCCATCTATCCATCAATCTCAAAAAATTGTGTGTTTATTAACACACGCTTTGTTTTATCACTATTTTAACACATCTGCTCTCCGGCCACCAGAACACAAATCTCTGATTCAGAGAGGGCAATTAAAACAAGGCGTTGTCCTTATTTACACACAGCTGTGTTTAAAAAATACCATAATATGTCTATGCATTTAACTTGGGCATAAAATCAGTGCAGTGTATTGCACTGATTTGAAGATGGTGATTAAACTGCATCAATTTTGGAATGTTATAATTATTTCTTACCAATTACAATAATACTCAACACTCGTCTTGGCCAAAAAAACATTCCTAAGTTTTAGAGATAAAAATTCCAACTAAAGCTTCTATTTTTGTATATATTCCACAACTGTGTAAATGGTCCTCCAGTCACATTAATGTTTTTACCCAATTTTTTCCCTCCAATTTAAAAATAACCAATTCATGTCAGCTAACAGACGGACATGTTGGCTAGCATCCTGCTGAGGGACTGCGGAAAGGGCGTGTCAAAGAGAGCGAGAGAGGCCAATTAAGCCCTCTTAGACTCTTGGATATGGATGGATATGGCTTCACTGGGGGAGCTTAGACAGTTGCACCACTCAAGAGCCCTTGTTCAGTCAACTATACCAAAAAAACACAAACCGAATTGTGGTAAAATGTGAGATGTCATTATGCATAAAGTAGTTTCCTACTAGATCCGTAATGGAAATTATTTGCAGTGAGGTCGGAAATGCACACTCCTGTTTTAACATCTCTGATTTTAAAGTGATCCATCAGAAAAAGTGACAATTTAACACGCTGCTGATCCACCCATCAATGCATGTCCCTCATTCCTCACCTCCTCCAGATGGCTCCACTGCGCTCTGATGTCTTTAATTCTCTCTGTCACCTCGGGAGCTCCGAAGTGTCCCTCCTGCACCAGCTGCTCTCCGGAGGCGATGCTGTTGCTGAGGGGGCCATAGCGGGCGGCCATCTCGTCTCTGAAAGCCTCGTGTTTGGAGAGCAGGTGCAAGGCAGAGGTAAGGTCTCGGCCACAGTCTCCGCCGGCCAGGATCTGCTCCTGCTCCCGAATCCACGCTGCTTCTTCGCCCAGCTCCCACAGGAACTGCCACAGGCGGCGAGAGTCCTCGAGCTTCACCCGCCGCTCACCCGCCAAACTGCCCAAGCTCATCATATGCCTGGCCCAGCAACGACACCTTCTCCTCCACCAGAGCCGGCTCACACGGTTTATAGGCTAGACCAGGGGAGAGAGAGAAAGAGAGAGAGGACAGGAGGAAGAGAGAGTGCACAGGACAAGGAAGTAGAAAAGGAGACAGAGAAAAAAGGGAGAGAGATGTTGGAGGGAGAGTTGATAGTCAGTAGCAGCTCACTTTATCATAACTGTTTGAACTGTTTCACCTGAACTTGAACATGAAAAATATATTTCCATAAAGTGAACACAGCTTCCAATTGTCATCACTGAAGTCTAAGTACATGATTATATATATATATATATATCTGAGTGAGAGGGCAGACTCTATCATAGAGACAGTCACACAGGCAACAGGGCTTTAGCCTACATTACTATGGGTGGTTCGAAGGGTCAAATTAGGAAAACGCATTAACGGCATTAAAAAAGCAGCTACTTGCCACTAGCATTTAGATTGATAAACAATTCTTAAACAAACGCTTAAAACCACAGCATCTGCCACTCCAATTTGAAGCTATTAACAAAATATTTTTCACTGACATCGGTTGTTGTTTTTTTGTTTAATGTTGACAATTAGTCAACTACTTTGAATGCGTAGTCAACTAGTAAACATCAGTAGTCGTGCAACCCCTAGTTTACGTAGGTATTTTTTTTCCTGTTATGCAGTGATTTAGGTATGCATGTAAATGAGTGTGATACTCACTCATTTCATCTGAAGTGAAGCGTTTGGCTGCTGCCTGCACTGCTCGCACTCTCTCTGCCTGGGCGGATATGTCTGCCTCCACCAGAGTGTGTTTCTGCAGCAAATCCTCCACGTCATGAAGGTGTTTCCCGCTGTCCTGAGACTGTAGACGACCCTGCATTCACACGCACACATTGTTAAATGAATGACCAATAATAGAGAGGCTAGGTTTCATTACACATGAAGCAAAACAATAAATCACTGTCTTCTAAAAAACCAAAGCAAATAATTAAATTATTCTATTTTAATGTTTTCTCCTAGCTGAATTCTAATTCATTTGCTCTTTTATTATTGTCATTTATTTTTGCACTTCTTACTTATGACTGGGAAACACCCAGAAATCAAGCTATACAAACAACTGATTCTTATAATACCATGAAAACAGATAATAACATGAAAAAGTGTCCAAAACTTATCAGCTGAACTGAACCATGTCACGTACCTTCATGTCCCCCATCCAGTCCATGATGTATCTCATCTCCTGTAGAAGCCTCTGCAGGTCCCTGTGTGCGGTCAGTCTTTCTCTGCGGGCAGCAAGCAGCTCCTTCAGGTACTCCCACAGGCGCAGGACGTTATCCCTCCGTGCAAGGATGCGTCTCACCTCGTGATATCCTTCCGCCTCCAGCTCGCGGGCCACCGCCTCCACAGCAGCCACGCGCTCTCCATAAGCTCCGATGTCTGTTTCTATGGCCTCATGCTTCCGTGTGGCAGCCTCCACCGCCCCCAGATCAAAGCCAAAATTGTCCTGAAGAGGGTGACAAAGAGGGCCAAAGGGTAGCGGCCTGGTTTGTTAAAATGGCCGACAAACAGGGCAAACAGATTGTTGATTTGTGAATAGAAGAGGATGTATGCTACATCATATTGTATATTACATTAGATTAGATTATACAAGATTGTATCCATAGTTTATTAGGCTACACGTTCCATCACTGATTATTAGCCAATTGGTCATATTATCTTTATATAGGGTTACTGTTCTGTAGGTTATATAGTAGCATGTTTAATCACAATGATGTTAAACAAAATGTTAAAATTTCCTTTTATTTAAATTACAAAATATAAAGTGCTCATTAGGATTACTGTTCATTACTATTTGCATAGAAAAATGTGTACATTCAGATAAGAAAACAGGTAAAAAACCCCTCTTTCTCTCACCTGAGACACTAGTCGCTGATTCTCACTCAGCCAGGTCTCTCTCATAGCGGCTTTGCGATCAAAGCGAGCGGCCAGCATCTCCAGCTTCTCCTGACGAATCAGCTCGTTTCTCAGAGCCAGTTCTCGTTCATGCTCCGCCTTCTCCAGCCGCTCCCATGCCTGCTCAGCCAATCACAGCAAAAACACTTAGGTGTCAGTTGCAGGAAAGCCACAGCTATGATCAGTAGAGTAATAGCTCGCTCATATGTTGGGCTTCTAATTATTTATCCATAAAACTGAGTCAGAGTACCTTGTTGATGTCAGAAATGAGTTTGCCCTCTCGAGGCATGTAGACTTTCTGGTTGTTTGCTCTCATTTTGCTCTGGATGGTGAAGAGGAGAACTTCCAAATTACCTTTCTCTGTAAACCTGTTAATACAGACACAGAAGCGTTATTAGAGACATTTTAAAGTGGCAAAAATATTTTAATGGCAAATATATTTATACAATGACAAACTCTGAGGCTATAGGATAATACAGGATGTATCAGTATTAACCTATAGTTGGATAAATACATATGTGTGAATGTGTGCAGAACAAGGGTCTAAAACCAGTTCAAAGAATTATAACAGAAACCAGAAAATAAACTAAATTTTGCTAAAAAAACAAAAAGGTAAATCGAAAACATCCTCAACTGTTCTGGAAAAGAAACGTTACTTTGATAACTCTGTTTATGTTTGCTTTTGGATCAACATCATGCGTAAGCTCACTCAATGTATCATAACACAAGATTCATACAGCATTTTTAGGCTGTAGATTCATTTAGTGATCATTATCTACAATACTGTGCAAAAGCCAGACACCACCTTTTCATTTAATAAATTTTAAGTCAAAATAAGCACAAGTTATTCTGTTAAACCTATATTTAATGGAATATTACACAGAAGTCTCAACAGCTAAATAGATTTTTCCAATATTATATATGTATATATATATATATATATATATATATATATATATATATATATATATATATATATATATATATCTATATAAAACCTTTATTACAGTTTCCATTCTTTTCAGGAAGCTTGGAGAGCAGAACATAATACTGGTTCTGCTTGGAGAGAACAGATTATTTTTATTCCCGTTCTGATCCTGGGTGTGGGGTTTTAAGATATGTAGCTGGTTCTAAATTGTGCTGGAGGAGTTTTTACAGGTGCGTTTGTATATAGACACTAACTTGGGTGGTTTCTCCACGGTGCGGTAGGTGTTGAAGGCCTGAAGTTGGTTCTGGACGGCGCTGAGGGAGTTGGCGAGCTGACGGTCATTCAGTGTAACAATTGTTTGTTCGATCCACTGAAGCAGCTCCGACGCCAAAGTCTCGTACTTCTCAATCAGCTGATCGGCCTCGATTGCATAGTCCAGCACCTACACACCATAAGACCACCACAGCATGCATATTCTGTTTAACTGATGACCACACACAGTCCAACACCTACGTAAAACACCATATTTGACAGTTTAAAAAAACTACAGACAGGGATTAAACTCTGCAGCAGCTGCTCCTCCAGAACTTTACAAATTAGTGAAAATATAAGTGGGGAGCATAAATATCAGAAAAGAAAAAAAATAAAAAATAATTAAAAGTGTGATTTTTACTAATGGAGGTTTACATTACAGTAGCTTTGTTTCCATTTGAACGTGTCAAAAACAAATCAAGACTGATGCACCATGAATATACACACACACCTTGCCAATTCTCTTGCCCTCCACTGCGAGAGCCTTCATCTTGCTGAAGTAGTGGTAGTATGTGGCAACATACGTAATGATGGATTTCTCATCTGGCTGATCCACATTGACATCTAGGGTGAGAGAAAGAGAAAGAGAAAGAGAGAGAGAGAGAGAGAGAGAGAGAGAGCAAGAAAGAAAAATTAAATACACACACATATATTTGAAAAGACAAGAAGTGTCAAATGATCAAAACGATTAAAATAATTCTTTGCTTATGGACAAAATAAGCTTCATTAGTTAGTAAACATCACATTCATGCTTTCAGCAGATGCTCCTATCTATTGTGATTTACTACGGTAGGAGAGTGCAGCATGAGGAGTCAGAGAAAAGTACTTTTTATTGGTAATTTAGCAATCATACAGCATTTACTCCCAGTTCATACAAATAATCATGTATGTACATGGAAAACACTCCAGTCTCCTATCTGTAGGGCGGAGTGTTATCCAATATAACATTAAATACTTTAAATCAGTACCTACTGAGAACTACATATGACTCAAAAACGATTATTAATTTAATTTTTCCCCCAAGATTGATTTTTGCCATAATTTCCTTCGCCACCACTTAAATGCAGCAGAAGACTGTTACTAATACGGCCAATGCAGGAAAAAGGTCACATGAACTGAAACGAATGAATACATTTATTAACAACTAATAATTAAATGATTAATACATCAAAGATTCAACTGGACATGTACAAACATGCTGCTAGTGTGTGTTATGTTTATTATTTTCCACAGGTTTCACAATCACAGCAGAATCATTTGTTTTTTTCTGTCAGTCTTAAACATTGGAAGCTTGACAGAAACTTTCTCTCTCTTTCTCCACATACACAGTTTGTGCACCCAGGCTCAAAGTCAGCTCTAATCCGTAATTAATTACAGTAAGCCAGATTGCACTTGGCCAGGTGGGTCTAGCAGAGAGAGGAGGGAGTGTTTATTCTGTGTGACCACCCTTAATTTTCAGTGAAAATGCACAAGTTATTCATTTTTCAACAGAAAATATCTATTTAACAGAAAATTACACAGAAGCCTTAGCAACTAGATATTAAATTATTTAGCATTTAGTGTGTCCACCTTTATTACAGCTTCCATCCTTTTCAGGAGACTCGCTTTCTGTTTTTCTGCAGGGATATGTTTCCACACAAAGTTCATTCTTAAAAGTTGTTATGATTTTCTGCTCACATTCAATGATGTCAATTAGAGGTGGGTAATATGACTGTATTTTATTGGTATCATATTTCATGGTGATAAAAAATATGCTTTTTTGAGCATACCATGGATACTGTCCATACTGAAAGAACACTGACCAATTGCACATTTCATTACAAAAAGAGCATAAGTAGGCCAGATTAATTGAATTTAATGCAGTACAGCCAGAATTTTTGATGCCAATTTTTATGTCTGTAAGCACTGTCGACAGGATATTTTTTGACATATTGCCCATCCTGAATGTCAATGTCTGGGCTCTGTTTAATTCTCTGAGAACACATTTTCTCCCTCAGTAAGGGCTGGACAGAAACACCTGTAGATTTTTTTCATATCTAAAGCAAGAGTGGAGCTCGATTTTCTCCTCTTTCTCCAGCTTTAAGTGCTGTTTATCTAATAGGAACAGTTTTGGTGGTCTACCAAGTCCTGCAGGAGGTTGTTAAGAGCTCCTTTTTCTCTATAGCTTTTAATAACTTTTTGAACTCCAGTTTTGGAAACTGTATTTCACTTATTTTCTTTTGGCTTTCTCCTTCATTATGCAGGTGGATCTTGTTTCTTGTCTCCTCTGAGATATTCTCTTAAAAAACTAATTACATTTAATAGTTGTTTTGGTTCAATAACAAATAAATGAAGGGTGGTCTTTGCACAGCACTGTTTATATAAATGTAGTATGAGAATGTGTATTTATGTTTGTACGTGTAGTGTGTACCCTCTGGGTCCAGCAGTTTGGTCAGCCCCAGCTCCTTCTCGGCCACATTGAATGCATTCTGCAGGTTATAGTGAGCGTTGGAGCGCTTTAGAGTATCAAACTCAATCAGATCTGGCCTGAGAGAGAGAGAGAAAAAAAAAAAATCAGTGAAAGATGAAAAGAATGTGTGAGAGTGGCACAGGGAGATTATTCACTCTAAACCCAACAGGCCTGTGAAATTTCTCATTTTTATGTCCTGCTCACACATCTCACTGCTCAGATGGGTGTGAAACGTATTTTACAGGCTTCGGTTACTTATTGGTGTTTCCGTAAGTGTAACTCACTCACAAAACCGTCTTAAACAATAATTTATATCTCATAATCAGCTATAATTTTAAGTATGATGCTATCAGGCCTAGCACAAGGTGTGCAGCATGTAATCTACCAAACGGTACTCAGGTAAGTGTCATAACATTTACATATTTGAGATGATTCATTAACCTTATTGTGCCTGCATGATATACAAACCACCTATCACAAATTTTGCACCGAGCATTTTTAAAAATAATCTTATAATTTAAAGTGCACAGGCTTTTTAGGCTCTTCTGTGCTTGTAGCTTCAGTGGACATACGGAAAAGCAGGGCAGTTTGTTGCACTCTGAGGTGAGGTAATGTGAATGCTGGTATAAATGTATGATACATTCAACAAAATCAGCTATAACTGGTTTAAAATGTCCCATATATTAACAATAAGTGCTCTATTTAAAGACCTTAGCTGATGAATTATTTTGTAACTTAGGCTACATTTTAACATTACTGTGATAATACCATCGCTTTGGCCACTGTTATCATGAAATTACTGTACCATGCCATCACTAATAAGCCTATATAATAGCTTTCCAGACCCAGATTACGTCTAGCGAGTAAGGCTCCGTAAGGTACAGCCCTAACGGAGACTCCACTCTGTAGTTTACTTAACAAACAGCAGAGGGTGCCAATCAACCACTAATGCTGCACTGCAGCATCTGGAGCGAATAATATAATTTATTCTTCTTATTTAGGTCAACTTATCCTGTCTTTTTTCTTTTCCTCACCACTGCAGTGTGTGAACAGAGCAGGAAGAACCCAAACAGTGTAAGAAGAGGCAAAGGAGGAGAACAAATTGAAAGTAAATGGCCAGAGACAGACAGATGGATGAGTGTGGCTGAAGGGCAAGGCGGACGGTGGCTCAGGTGGACCATTAAACTAAAGCATTAAACAGGTGGGGAAAAGTCAATAGAGAAGAGGACAGAGAAGTGGCATTATTAACACAGATGGATGTGTTGGGCTGCTGCAGCAACAACAAAACACACTAAAAGCGTGATATACACATTTTTCAAGTCAGATATGTTGAATATCGTCACTGTTTGAAGAAAACACTGGATTTCCAAAACAGTAATTTCACTGGAAAAAATATATATAATAGTTTATTTTAATAGTTTGAATAAAAAGTTAATGTTATAATCTTATTCCATGTGATTTTGGCCCATGTTTTTCAGTGAATTCACAAGAACTTTTCACACCGTATTTCCCTGTGACATAAAAAATCAGCTCTGTTTAAATGTAAAAACATCAGCACTAATATTTTGTTGTTAGATTATAACTTAAAATGTGCTTTCCTGGGGTTTCTTTCTTTATATTTTTTAAATATGACAACCCATTTAAAAGTACAACTATCATTGAGTTTATACTGCGGTGTATGATTAAAACCACTAATCGTCACATTCCTACTTATGACATTTCATGGGTTATAAAACATATCAATAAAAATGAGAAGCAGAAGCTCATGGCTGAACTAAAGCTCAGTCAACCAGGACTGAGGTTAATGGTTTTTGAGGCACATCTGACTGATTTGCCATTGGTGTCTAGGTGTTTTACCGCTGACAGGTCTCAGCTGCTGACTGGAATTCCTCTAGGCCTAACTATGTGTGCCTACATGTTAAAAAATGGAGAGGTGCGTGTGTGTGTGTGTGTGTGTGTGTGTGTGTGTGTGTGTGTGTTACTCTCAGTGCGTCTGAGTGCCTCAGGGATTTTTTTAGGCGTCCTTAATGTTTGCACACTACATGCACACTCGATGATGACCTGTCACTACCGTCACCGTGTGCATGTTCCTGCATTTTTCCCATTCCAAGAACCAAATGTCCTCCTAAGGATAAGAAAACATAATCTGCACAAGTGACGACGTCTGCTAATCAGTACTTTTCACGCTTAAATATACACAGATGAGCCAAAACAGCATGATCACTCACTGATGAACCGAAAAACATTTATTATTAAGTAGCAACGCCGCACGTGAAGGTCAGGGATATATTAGATAGAAAATGAACAGTCGATTGTTGGATGTGGGATAAATGACCAGGCGTGAAGACCAGAGTGACTTTATCTGGGGCTGAATCGTTATGGTCAGACGACTGGGTTGGAGCATCTTCGAAACAGCGAGGCTTGTGGTGCTCCCGGTCAGCAGAGGTGAATTCCTACTGACAGTGGTCCAAAGAGGGGCAAACCACGAACCAGCAACAGGGTGTTGGTTGCCCAAGGTTCATCAATGCGCGAGGGGAATAGAGGCAACTTCATCTGGTCTGAACCATCAGAAAGGCTACTGTGGCACAAACCACAGAAATTTTTAACGAAGGAGAAATGTGTGAAAACAGTGCATCGCACCCTGCTGTGTCTGAGGCTGAAAGGAAAACAGGCCTACAATGGGCATGTCAGCATTAGGACTGGACTTTGACATGTCACCTACCTAACATTATTCCTCAATGGCAGTGGCTTCTTTCAGCAGTATAATGCGTCCTGCCACACTGCACTCACTGCACAGGAATGGTTTGAGGAACATGACCAAGAGTTACCATGGCCTCCAAATTCCCCAGATCTCAATAGACTGAGCATCTGTGGGACAGGGACTTGAAGGAAACCTTCAGAGGTCTTGTAGAGTACGTGCCTCAGTGGGTTGCAGCTGTTTTTCATCGGTGTAGAAATTCGAAGTTCATCATTTTCACACATTTTAATTTCTAGTGAAAAATGCTTTTATTTATAATTCTCTTAAGAATGAAGGCATTATGTTAGTATAGACAGCATTTGAAGATCTGTCTCAAATATTACTAGATAAAAATTGAAGTTACATCAAATTCTTCAGTTATAAAATAATTTTACGTTAAACGACATGAAGGTGAAAAGTAAGTGATTTCATTTAAGCCTTTAGGGGAGTGAAATTCAAAAGCTGGTAAATTTAGCATTTATTCAAGATTAATAATTTGTTGTTTTCTGCATCCTTCTGTCACAGTGACATAATGTTAAATAGTCAGGTTGGTTGAAGAAAAGTAAGCATTTTCTGTGGCCCTTAGTCTCATTTTAGCATTCAAAAGATCATCAGCATTTATAAATGTTTATGTGAATGTATGTCAGTTGACAAAAGGAAGGATGGCAATTTTGCATGAAATATTCCACCCAGTCATATTCTATTTAATATGCCTCTTAAATGGCACATTACTTGAATGCAGTAACAACAGTCCCCACAAAGATGGTAATACAAACGTCTGGAAGGCTTACCTGTGTTTGTGAACAATGGCGTTGAACGCCAGGCCGTCTCTCCAGCTGGTGGTGAAATTATGTACGTTGACGTTCGGGTACCTGCAGAAATGACAGCTCGTTAGTGTTCGTGTGTGCAAACAGTGCACGTTTGAGTCGTGCTGAAAGATGGTAGTGTTGACTAAACGTATCTGCTCAAATCACAGAACACCACTTAGTTTAAACTCTCAGTGTCAGGTTATGATTTCCCCTCTTCCTCTGGATCCCTCCTTTACCAGTCGAACTCGTCATTTCTCTGGATCTTTTCTTTCTCTCATCGCCTTCTCCACCAGAAATTCCACCACCGCTCCATTTCTCCTGTATCTCACCCTTTTCTTCCTTTCTTTTCCAAATTCCTTCCCCCTTTTTCGTTTCTGCGTTCCAGCATCCTTTCTTTCCTCCCATCCTCTCTCCCTCCCTCCACCCTTCACTTTCTTAACATTTCTTTCCTTCAATCCTTATCACTCCACTCACCCTTTATCTACCTGCATCCATCTTCTTCCCCTCTCTCTCCCCCTCATGCTCTCACTCTTTCTCATCTTTCTATTACTCTTTCACTCTCTCCTTCTTTTACCTACCCAGCAGTCTTCATCTGGCACCACAGCAGTAGAGCATCTTTGGCTGACTTCTTCTCCTTGTTGTCCTCTGTCTCCACACTGATGTCCTGGATCTACAAACACAAATGCATGTTACAGTTTACATTCGTGTAAAGAGGAAATTAATAAAGCCTAGATCCTCTACATCTGCTTTCACAGTATAAGTGAAGTCTTGTTGATCTACCTCTGCTTTTACACTATGAATAAAGCCTCGTCCATCTACATCTGCTCTTGCACTGTGAATAAAGCCTGGTTCATCTACAGCTGCTTTTACAACTCTTTGAGATCGGTAAAGGTTATAGATCATTCACATAGTGCAATAGTTCCGCATCGATTAAAGATGCTTCCTGGAATGATATGTTCGAGCCAAGAACCACTCAGGAAACTAATTTTAAGAGTCTAAAGGTAAATCAGATTGTGCATGCTAATTTCACTCAGATGGGCAGAGATCTTTCCATTAGCATATCAACCACACACAGGTGAAGAATGGTATTCAGTAACAAAGGTGTCTTACACTGCTTGAAGACCTCTAAATAGGGTAGAATCCATTTTGCGATTGTTTTAAACAACATGCGATGAATGTTGGGCTGCATATTCTACTTCGAGCACTCACTGTTAATCTTCTCATGACATAAAAAATAAGCTTTAATATTTTCCTTTTTTAATCAAATGAACTTTGTTTTGTATTTTAGTTTTTTCCACTGTATCATTTGGTATTGAGTCGTCATATTACACTAGTATAGTATAGTATCGAAATGAAATATCTAGTATCATGACAACCCTAACACCTGTACAGCACTGAGAATAAGTCTAGTTTTCTACTCATATTTACAATGAAGTGTAGTCCATCTACAGGTGTCACTAAATGTCTGAGAGGATGCTTTAAATATCTACCATTAACAGGAAGGTTTTTAGTAAACTGCTAATGAAATAAAAATCATTTCATAAAGCCAGATATAGCTAGGTCAGTGCAAATAGCTACACGAGACTAGGTTATTATATTCAGGGCTGTCAGATGTAGAGCAAACTCCAAGAGACCAAGCAACAAGGGATTTCTTACAATAATGGATACATGACCAGAATATGCAGGCACTTGCACACACCCACACCATGCCTGAACTGACAAGACCTAAATAGATAACTAACAATATACCAATAAGAAAGAAACCATAATCACGAGAAGATTACGCCAGTCTGACAAACTCTTCACCACTCACACATCCGATGATTGCAATCTATAATCATGTCCCTTCTGCTCCAAAAAAGCAGACAAAACAAACAATCAGTGTATTAACTGGCTAATAGGAACCATTCTGAGCCGAGCGTAATCAGGCCGGCCAGCTGGGCTTCAATAATTAGCTTCAGTTTCTTCAGAGGGAATATAAAAAGAAAAGAAAACTAGCCCCTTGAGAGGTCACTGAAACCATTTACAGCCAGATTATAATTATAAGCTTTACAACAGAAAGCTAAATGGGAGATGACACTAACAGAAAACACCTTTATGGAGAACACTGCGTCGTGCTCATTACAAGTTTAAGCAGATTTTCTCAATCGAGGTCTCTGAAAACGACCCCATAAAACGTAACGCACCTTGAAAATACTGTCCTAACACTTCAGTGCTAGCACTGAGCAAGTCTTAATCTAGAAATTAATATTGTAACTTAGTGGTGTAACAATTAATTTATGTTTCCTGATGCATCATTCATAATTCCTCCCAAAACAACTGCACTGGTCGTAAAAGGAACCTACTGAATCATGTTTTTTGATCAAAAATTGGTGCTACAAACTGTGAAACCATTTGTGATTTATTAGCTAAACGAACTTGGTGTGATATTTACAAATACATGTGAGATTCTCCTCAGGCTCCGCTATCATTACATGTAGCAATCACAAAGTATACATACAAATCCTCACAAGCTGAGAAGGTGGAACCAAGCATTTGATGGCGATTACTTCTCAAATGACTCAGAAACCCGACCAGTCCAGTCCTTATATAAACAGATAAACACGAGAGGTCTGTTGCTAAGGCCCCGCCCCTCCGTACCTGGAAGCGCAGGATGATGGTCCAGATGAGTCCGAGTGTGAGACGGTGGTTGCCGTCGACGATGTCATGAGAGCCCATGTTCTCCAGGTGGACTTTCTGCTCCTTGAGGAACTGCAGAGCCTTGTCCACATTCTCCAGACAGTGGATTCGCATACGGCCCTTTGTGGGCTTCGGCTGCATGGAGCCGGAGAACAGAGAGAGAAAGAGAGAGAGAGAGAGAGAGAGAGAGAGAGATCGAGAGAGAGAGAGAGAGGAGGGAGAGATCAAAGTTTAAGATGAAGATCAGTGGATGGATAGAGAGAATGAACCAATAAATCAATGAACTAATTTATGGATGAAGGGAAAAAAATAAGTATTGATAATAAATGAATGAATAAATGAATCTATGATGGAAGAACAAAGGAGCAATTAAACTTAGTGTAAATCTTCACAATGATTCAATACAAATACAAATTTGCATGAATAGATTTACTAAAATTCAGTTAGATTCACTGTTAATGTAGATTATCCACAAAAGAATCAAAACACCAAGATTTCTTCTTTTTTCCTGTACTTTACTGAACATAACTGACTATAATCAATCATTATTATGACTCTTTATTTATCGTTTATAATCAAAATAACAATCCAAAACTGATGAAGTTGATTATACCCCTAATAAAAGTGATATTATTTACGACAAAGAATAAACATGAGGTGACTAATGAACAAATAAAATAAGAGCAGACGTGGGTGGGGGAGTGAAGGCTGAACAAAAGAACTAATGGATGAATGAAGCAGCACTAACCAGTTGTTCTCCGGAGAGCACCTCCAGCAGTCTGATGAGCATGCGTCCATCGCGCAGGTCAGTGTACAGATCTCCGATCCTGCAGGTGACGCGGCCAAGGTGAGAGTTCACCCATTTAGTGAAGGTCTTCTTCTGCACCGCCTCTCTCTCATCTACAACAACAACGTGAGCAGAATGTTAGAACATTTAGAACCCGCACTAGAACCAGCACTTCCACAGCTTCTTTCCTTATTTATATAAATTCCTATTACATGTATATACAGAAATCAGCACCATCACAGACACATTTGCTTAGACATATATAAACACAGTCGAACAAACACAAACCACTGTTTTGTCAACATAAGAAATATATTTATAGAACACTGTGAAAACAACAGATCACACAAAATCCAGCTCTCCGCACACACTTTCCACACACACACACACTTTCCACACACACACACACACACACACACTTTCCACACACACACACACACACAGAAGGACGAAGAGGATTATCAAATGCAATCCATCATCACAATAAAGAAGTCAATAGTTTTTTAACCTCTATTAGCTCTTAGAACCTTATTCTAAAGTTATTGCTGTTGTTTCGCTAGACGTTAAATTTACATTAAGCATTTAAATGCAGTTATATTATTACATAATTAAATATACCACATAATCACAATTATTTACACTTACATTCATATGTAAGAGTTTGGGCAACCCTGGTCAGATTACACGTTCTGTTGATTTTCTAAGTTTAAATAAGCCCACAGATCCTCTACAATGAACAAACTTAAATATAACCTTTTGTGACAGAATGTCTATTTATTTGCTCAGTTCAACACACTGAAAGAAAGAATGAAAAATAAAATGGCAATAAATGTGCCATGACTTTTCTATTTGTCAAATTTTGCATCCACCTGCCAAAATGTTAAATTCAGCACAGTAATAGTGTATTAAAATGTGTTCTCTGTAGAGGGTGTGTTAACTGATTTTTCACTTCGAAAATCAGCAAAGCATGTTCACTTGACCAAGGGTGTCCAAACTTTTGCATACGACTGAATATTAAATTTTCATTTTGTTTTGACAGGTTTAAGTATACATTTAGAATGCGTTTCCACCTGTTTCACCAGCCAAAAATGGCAAAAAAGTCTCAAAAGAAATATAAAAACGTAAATTTCTGCAATGTTCACACAACTAAAACTTCAATTCAAATCACGATGAAAAAGCTTTTTTACTTACAAACGCGAAAGAACTCAAAGTTTAGAATCGGCACTTTTCACAGAATTTCTCGTTTCCTAATTTATATTAACTCACATAACGCTTTTGACAGTGCCAGTGATAACTGCACCTTCAAAGGGTTAAGGAGCCATTTGATTGACAGCTCTCTTCACTAGTCAGAGTTGTGAGTTAGAAGATGAACGAGACCTAAAAACAGAAACAGGTAGACATACATATGTCCAACAGATGGGTACAGCATGGCAGTCGTGTGGAGACAGTGTGTCGGTCTGAGCATATGGGGCTGGCCGTTTGTTATGTGAATACGCCACAGCATTCTGGTAACGCTGCGTGTTTGGACATATGGGACTGATCAGCACCAGCCCTATGCAGTAATAGCCTTGAGTGGACGTCGTACGTTAGTTGGAGCATATGGACTGGTCAGTAATAGGCTCAACCAGCGGGCGACAGATACTGAACGTCATGTGATCCGTTTGACCTTTAAAGTCAAAGAATGCCAACCTGTGCACATACGATTACAAACACACTGTAGGCCTCCAGAGAAAATGAAACAATGGGGGAAAAGTTAAAGCAGCAGATTTTGTAGCCTGCAGTGTTTGTGGGTAGTAAAGAGGCTAATTGCGTGACATTGGCAAACGAAGCATGTAGCATAATTAGTGATACGACACTCACTTTCAATACAACAACAGTCATGCACTCTGTGACTTGAAGCAGGAAAAAGCGTAAGAATACGTCTGGACGCACTTTACCTCCCTGCTTATTCCCAACACATCCACACAAAACAAGAAAAAAAGGCCAGAGGCATTAAAGCGCTGACATTATAGCCATCTGCCTGGATACTGCCAAACACACACAAAAACAAAAGCTGACCTCACTGCAGGGGAGCCTACACTACTGCTGACTTTGTTGTTCCGTGTGAAATAAATGTTACATTACAGACACAGAGAAGATCCAAAAACTAGAACATCAAATCCTTTATGACTGCCCCAAGTAGAAAGAATATCATATGAACAAGAGAGTAGAATATGTGCACTGCAACTAATTATGATAACCAAGGATCCATGAGAGTTCATGAACAGAGATCCAGTTAAACAGAGACAGAAACTTTCTTTCTGCTGAAATTAAGGTAGATCTGTAGCTTACTTTTTTAGCTGACAGGCAAAGGAATATATACCATGCAGAGGAACAAGACATGTTCCTCAAGACATGACACTTTCATAACTGAACGGAAAAAACAGTTTATTATGGTAGGTTTAATATAATTAATAATAATAATAATAATAATAATAATACTAAGCTATTGTTGTTGTGTGTTAATTTTCAAAATTAATACTACTACAAACCTTGCAAACCATGCTAAATCATGTGTGGGGATGGTGAAACTGTTGGTAATTGAAACGGATTTCCAGAAAAATTTATTATCAAAATTACTGAACACTCCTGAGAAACTGTAGCAGCCTTAGTCAACGTGGTGATATGCGCATATGAACTGTAGAAAGAAATGAAAGTGTGTGTTTGTGTGTGTAGAATGACAGTAATCCTGATGGGCTCTGTGGTTAGACTGGACAGATTAGGGGGCCACTTACTACACTTAAAGAGGGAAGACCCCCTTCTGTGCATGTGCTTGTGCGCAAACACAAACACATTACTCACACCATCGCGGCCTTCTGAGGCTTTTGTTGCAGTCGAGAGGAAAAACATGATGAATAGCTTCAGTTTGGCCCCTGCTTTGTTTTTGGTCCCCAAAATGTACGCATGTGTGTTAAAATGGCGTTAGAACCCTGGTATGTGACAAAAACAAACACCCGTAAACACATAAATTCATACAAAGCATACGCTGGCTCTCTCTAACGAGGTTATGACTCCTGAGGACATCAGACAACGCCCTGATTGAGTTTCCTCACCTTCTTTTATATTCATTATTTTTGCTACCATCTCTATCTCTCCTGTTTGTCTGTCTCTCTCCTCTCTCGTCCTTCTATTCATCATTCTTTCTCTCTCATTCTTCTATCTCTGCAGGCAGCGCCGGGGCAGCTCTATCTCAGTTTATGTAACCTTGAGAACTGAGCAGAAATGCCAGAATGAACGATCTGCTGCATCTGTGCGATTACAGGCATTATAACCACAGTGAAAACAAAGTGAGCTCCAGAAGTATTTGGACAGCATGTCCATTTTTTTGCGTTCTCCAACACTTGGGATTTTAAATGACAGCTTGAGCGCTGCACCTGCACTGATCAAAACATCGCTTCCACAAAGATCAAGGGGTCTTTTTACTTTACAGTTACTCCTTTTTAAAACTAGGGGAGGTTAATCTATTTTGACGTCTCAGCCATTTCAAAGAGTTTCTTTCAGCACCCTTTTTGAAATGTATAAGAAAGTAGTGCACTTGCAAAATGCTCCAACAAAAAACAGCAAACTCTTATACAGATTAGCGTGCTAACACAACTTGGTTAAAGGGGTGGTGTGCCAAGGGCCGATTGCTGGACAGTCGTCTGATAGGTCAGTACATTTTGAACTGCATGATGGAGATCTAATGCAATTCAACTGTAATAACTGTCAAATTCAATTGATACTGGAAACATATTGTTTGATGTCCATCAATTAACCCAATAAAATGTATACCAACCAAAATGAAAGTACATTTTAAGGTGAGGTGATCTTACAGTGTAGTTGATCTTAAAAGTTTACTGGTTTTTGGTTGATATATATTTTAGCATTTTCAACTAACATTTTCAAGATTCAATCAAACCTATTAATGCAAATTTATGTAAAATCAATTCAACAAATATTTTCAAAAATCATTCTGTATATCAGGATTGAATTTACAAATGATGTGAAACTCATTCTGCTAGTACTTTCAAAATTTGTTTAATTTTATCAGTGTTAAATCCACAAATTATGTGAAACTGATTTAACTAACACTTTAAAATTTTGTTCCACATGTCAAACTAAGTCCAAATAATAATGTGAAATTGATTCAACTAATATTTTCAAATATCATTACACACTATCAGTGTTGAATCAACGAATGTGACACTGATTTAGCTACAGTTTCCAAAATTAATTTCATCTCAGTGATAAACACAATTCATATCAGTGATTAACCCAAATACCTGTGAGAAAGGTTTGTCTATTATTCTCAAAAACTGCTCCACAGTATCAGTGCTGAATCAACAAATTACATGCAACTGATTTAAGGCAGCACTAACCCAAGTTTCTGAGAGATCTGAGGCAGACAGGGAGGAAACTACTTTAGGTGTGTGGAATTTAAGCCGGTCAAGTGAGGCCGTTAGCATCTTACGCTGCTGCACAGAGCATTACTGAACCCTTTAATTTACACAGGGATTAGCTCACACAAATACTCGCACACCAAACGAACACGCACAAACAAGTAGGAACACACTACAACTGGGCTGTAGATAACCAGCTAATCGCTTTGATATTTCTGTGGTTTTCATTTGTTCGGTTTTTTTTTTTTCCCCCAAACATCAAAGCTGATCTGCCAGTGTGTTTGCTTTTGCTTATACTTTTGTGTAATAAAACTAAATGTCAGACAAGCGAGAGCATCACTTATCAGCATCTATCCTGGAATTTTATTTTGTTATACTTCCCCAAACATAATTATAGACATAAACACGCAAACCAAACATAGAAGATCAGAGTAAATACACAGAAAAACAACACACAGACACAAAAAAGAGAAATTTTATCTCCACACAGTCTCAGTGAAACCGGTTTGGCCAGTCACCACCCAAGAATGAAAGCAGCATATTTACACACACAACATCCACTCTCTCTCTCTCTGTCTCTACTTCTCCTGTTCCACAGCCACTGTGGCTAAAAAGGCTCGCACCATGTAATTATCCAGAGTTGAAATACACACTGGCTGGAATATTTGGTGATTTTGTGTGGCTCTATGTTTTAA